GGAGGTTGCAGTGAGCCGAGGCCGCACCATTGCACTCCCGCCTGGGCAATGAGAGTGAAACAATGTCTCAAAAAAAAAGAAAAGAAAAACTAAGTCACCTGCCTGTGTCACACAGCCGGGAAGCACCCGAAGCCACCAGGAAGGCAGCTAAGGTAGTTTGGGGGCCCAGAATCGGGACTGAAAGTGCTCCAGCCAGAAAATGAGTGGAATAGCCCATATAGCTCCCCACAAATGGAGGCCTGGGTTCCAATCCTGCCTGTCCCTTCTGACTCCTTAGACAAAGGTCTGAATGGTCTAAGCCTCGGTTTCTCCTGTAAAATGGGACTAAAAGTCGCGCCCAACCCAGGCTATCTGGAGAATCAGGGAGATGGTACCTGGAAAGGGGACGTCGTGAAGGGCTTGGCCCCATGACCATCTTAGGGTCTTTGTGGCTGTGCAGGAGAGAAGGTTGGGGACCAGTGGTGATCAACACGAGGGAAGAAGCCGACGGGAAAGCCAGCCACGACTGCGCACAGAGGGCCTCGGACTCCAGGCAAACGAGTGGGGCTTCATCCCAGGACGCTGGGGAGCCCGGGTGGGTGTGTGAGCAGGGCAGGGAGTGGATGAGAGCTTCGTGCGGCAGGCTCTTCTGGGCGCCTGCAGACGGACGGCCGGTGGACTAGAGTGAGGATGAAATTCAGGGCAGGAGGTGAGAGGATGGTCCTCAGCCCTTGGACACAAAGACAGGATGATGACATTTGTTCTCTGTAACAGAAAGGCCCTGACTCGCTCCGGCCTCGGCCCCGGCCACGCCCCCGCGGAATCCCGGGCCCGCGCGTGCGCACTGACAGCAGGGGAATCCCCGACTCCGCCGCAGTGCGCGGGAGGGGGCGTGAGAGGGGAGTTCCTTGCGCTCCTAGCCCTTCCCGCGTGCGTCGCCAGGACAACCGGGCGGGGCCAGGGGCCGCCGGGAGCTCACTGCGCCTGCGCAGGGGTGCTAGCTTCACGCGCCGGGGCTTTCCCGTAGCGCGCCAGCCGAAGAGGGGAGGCCGCGCCCAGCACGCATGCGTTGGCCCCACCCGACCCCCCCCCCAACCCTGAGGGTCGGGGAATCCTCACCCGCCGCAGTGCGCATGGGGGCGGGGCGGGGAAACCGGCTCAAACCGGAGTCGGGTTTGCCGAGGAGGTGGCGGGGGAGGAAGCGAGAGCGGGGTCTTCCCTAGGTTCCCACTCCGTCCCCCGCCGTCGCCTTAGCAACCGGGCGCGCGGGCCGCAGTGCGCGGGCGGCGGCGGCCTCGGGGAAGCCGGGTGACTCTGCGCCTGCGCGGGGCTCAGCGCCTGCAGCCGGGGTTCCCCTTCGAGCGCCTGGGGGACTGCGGGGGAGGAGAGGATGGGCGCGGGGGAGCGGGTGCTGGGGAGGGGGAGACCGTGAGGGAAGGGACGACACTGGAGAGGCGCGGGGGGAGAGAAGGGGAGGAGGAGTGGGTGCGGAAGAAGGGGCGGTGGGGGAAAACGCAGTGAGTAGGAAAGATAGGGAGGGGTGCAGGGGGAGGTGAGCCTGGGGGTGCGCGCCAGGGAGGGAGTGACCAAGGCTGAGGGGGATGGGGGGGCTTAGGGAGTCGAGAAGGGTTAGGACTAGGAAAGGGGTGCATTGGCCAGTGGGGACACCTCAGGCACCTGCAGCCTCCGGCCCAGCAGATTGGCCTGCGAGGGTGGGGTTGCTGTTCCAGAAAGTCAGGATCCTCGGGTCCGAGCTTAAGGTTTCCAGATTTAGAAAAAAAAATTAACAGAAAATACAGGGCGCCCCCTTAAACTTGACTTTCAGATAAATGAGTAATTTTTTAATTGTAAGTATGTCCCATTCCGTGTCCTCTACTTTATCCAGCAGCTCTAATCTTGGTTATTGTCGTCCCCCCATACCCCCAACTTATACACCGCCGGTCCCTATCCTTTCCGAAAGCCTCGTGGACCCTCGCGGAAGACGCCTTTGTCTCCCGCCTGCCGGGCGCCCCACAGCCGGGCACGTGGGGTGTTCCTCCCACCCTGCCATCCCCTCCCCCAGCCATCTGCTGTCCTCCTGGCCTTGAACACCAGCCTGCAGGGGATTGCGCAGAGACGCGGCGCGCACCCTGGGGGATTTTCTAAGCACTCCTGCACCGCCCCCCTCCACAACCTCCAAACCCTCTGCTACCCGCTTGCCCCTGCCAAGGCCACATTCGCCCCGCCAGTCCCAGACACTCGCACCTTCTTCTCCAGGCACCTCCAGGGCTCTGCTTTCGGGCAGCCTCCCATACTTTCTGGGCACAAAAAGCACACAGGTACGTAGTAGGTGCTCACAAAAGAAAAAAAAAAAAAAAAAACATTTGAGGGCGATTTTGCGAAGGCAAGTGCAGGGGAGGGAGTGTTGCATCTCTCGACGCGGACGGCTGCATTCTCGTCCCTTGGAGACTTATCTCCTCTCTGGGCCTTTGTCCCCTCCAATAAAGCAATTTCGTTTTTATCCTTCCCTTTGGTTTCAAAAAGTGTAAGATAACAAAACATTATGAAAAGCTCATCAAAGTGGGAAGGGTCAGCCCCCAGCGCCTCCGCACCCCCTTTCCCCACTTGTCATGTTCGGTCCTTTTACTTCTTCTCCATCTGAACAGTAGCACAGTGGCGCCTCAGGCCTGGCTTCTGCTCCACGGGCCGGGAGCTTGGTCCCTGCGGATCACTTTCCCCAGGGGCATGTTATTCCGGAAACGGGCTAAGCGGTCCCGGGTGGGGGACACGTGGGCGCCTGTTTTTAGTTTCGCAGTCCTAGGCGACGCCCGTGCAAAAGCTGGCCATGGATGTGCTGTGTGGTGTCTTGGAGGCATTTCTAGGGCGGCTAGCTGGGCAGAGGGTAGTAATGTCCCTTTATTTGATGCTGGGTAGCTCCTGGGGTGGTGCCGGGACGGGAACGGCCCTCTCCTCCCATCAGCCAGGTCCAAGTAGCATCTGGCCCCTCATTCCAGGGGCAGGGAGAGGAGAAGAGGAAAGAACAAGCTAGTTCACACCAGGGCCTGAGGGCAGTGAGAACAGTAAACCAGGGCGACATGCCCAGAGAAGGGGCGACTCTAGGGAGGAGGTGACCTTGGATAGAGCCCTGAAAGTCGACGGGTGGGGACAGGGGCTGAGGAGAGCCCGGGGAGGGCGATCCCGGCCCAAGGACCCGCAGATGCAAAGGCTCTGAGGCTGAACCGGTTCGGGGGAGATGCTGGGCGTGTCCAGAGTGTGGTGGGCGGTCCAGGGAGACCGCGGAGAGACGGGGACAAAGGGTGGGCGTTGCAGGTGCCGACGGCGCCGGCCTGTAAGGAGTCTGGGTCCTCCTTTTGGTTCAGGAAGAGCAGGGAGGCAGGGGGAGGGCAGCCATGCGGGACAGGGACGTGACCTGTCACACGGGTGAGGACTGAAGTCTGTGGCTGCGTCAGGGAGAAGGACCGTGGCGGGGACAGGGGGAGCTGCGGGACTGGGGAGGATCTTCGGACTCCACAGGGCAATTGTGGGGTCCACGGGGCGCAGGGAATTCCCCGATCATGGGCGTCCTGGTCACCTCTGCAGCCTGACTCTCCTTCACTGTGTCTGACTAAAGCATGGCTCACAGCCTTCCCCAACGGGGCGGGAAGTCCCCCCGGGAGGGTGCTGGGTGGCGCCCCTCGTCCTCCGCTCCTGCGACCCCCACCGACTCTCTGCCTCCCCAGTGCAGACCCGAAGGCCTCCTCCCCTTTGTTCTTTTTCCCTCCACACGGTCACGGTCACACTGGCGGCTCCCTCGGAGCGCGTCTCACACACAATGGTGGGGGGGCTGCGCTCCCAGTCTCCCCTCCCCTCGGCGTCCACGTCCCCCAGCCCCGCCCGCGCCACGGAATCCCGGCCTCCAGACCCTGCTCGGGAAGCTCATTACCTTTCTGGAGAGGCTCCCCGCCGGGGGTCTGGGGAAGGGGAAGGTCTATTTTTAGAATGAATGGAATAAAAGGGAAAAAAAAAACCGAATGGAGGTTTGTAGAAGCCTCCCTACTTCCCAGAGGAGCCCCCCTCCCGACTCCCCCGCCCCCCAGACCAAGGCTGAAGGTGGGTGGGGGTTCAGAGATGGGGCGGGGCAGGGGGCTTGGAGGAGGAACGCGGTGGTTTGAGCTGGAGCCACGCTTTCTGTTGGAGGGGAACAGCTGAAGGAGAACGCAGGACCTATCCGGAGGCCCCACGGGCTCGGCGAGCTGAAGGGACCCCGGAGGTGGGCACTCGTCCCTACGCTAGAGGGAAATCCGCTCAGAAAGGGGCTTGGCAGGACCACGGTCCTGGGAGGGGCTTGTCCCTAGACTTCTCCCTCCCATCCCCTACTGAGCCAGACCACGGGAGCCACATTGTTCTAAGGTGGCGGAGTGACCTTCACAACTCTGCCACCCAGGCCTAGGCCAGTCAGGCTGGGGGGTCCCCAATCGGACCGGTTGCGGGGAGGGTGTCACCAGCCCAACAATGAGATAGAGAAGTTTTCTGTGGTTTGGTGTCCGGCCACCCAGGGTCCCCTTTCCTAGCTGGGACCTTCCAGTCCGGTCAGCGTCTCCCGAAGCCTCTGGGTCCCCTGATCCTCCCCAGTCGCGTGGTGGGGAGGCTTTGTCTGCCTTCCTCTCTCCCTGACTCTCTTCTTTCCTGGATCGGGCAGAGGGCCCCCCCACCAGAGTGAGGGGAGCAGCCCTGTTCCTGCTGCTGGGACATTGGGCTCTGGCCAAGGGCTTCCGCTCTCCCGGTCTCAGTTTCCCCTTCTGTAAGATGAGCACCTTGGGCCAGAGGCCGCAGAGGGTCCTCCCATCTCTTTGAGCGTCTCCTAAGATTTGGCGTCACGCCCCTGGGTGGAGCGGGGAGAGTGGGCTCGGGCGAGAGACCTGGAGGGGGATTCCCTCCCGGCTCTCCTCTCTGGAGACGTCTTGCGGGGGAGGGCCCGCTGTGGCCGCGGCAGACTGCCTCCTTCAGCCTGTGGGGTCCGCGCCCCCTCCCCGGGCGGCGGGGCGGGGCCCAGGTCGGCGGGGAGGGGTCGGCTCTGCGGCGGCGCGCGCACACCCTCCCGGCTCACACGCCCTTGCCCGGCCGTGCACTTGTCTTCGCGCTCGGGCAGGGCGCAGAACTCCGGCCGCGGCGGCCGACTCCGGCCGGTGAGTGGGCAGTGGGGGGCGCGGCGGGGAGCGTTGGGTCCCGGCGGCGGTCCCCTTCTCCTGGGTGGGCGGATCGATGAAAGCTTGCCCGACTCCGGGAATTCAAAGGGGAGCTGCGGGAGGAGCGGAGGCATCCCTTCTTCAACCCCCGCCTCCCACAGAGATCCCGGAGTCAGCTCCTGACCCCACCCCCATGCCCTGTGATGGGGGCCTCTTGCTTCCAGGCCTGGGGATGCGCAGACGTCCCCTTCCCTCCGCGGAGTGAAGGTGGGGACGTGGGGACCCTCCAGGCCTGCACCCTCCTCAGTGGTGGGGGGAAGGAGCGCTGGCTCCCGTTGCCCCCTCCTCCCTCCCTGTCCCCTGGGTTTCTCCCTTTCTCCTTGCGAGGTGGCGGGGATTCCTTGGGCTGGCCCCACTCCGCAGTGGGAGGGAACCCTCCCACCTGTCAGCCTACTGTGCACTGGGCTCTGGGCTCCTGTTCTTTTCCCTAAGCTTCCTCCCTTCCCCCCTCCCCTCTCCCGGACAGGAGGAGGGGCTGAGGCCCAGAGAGGGTTACCACTTGTCCAAGGTCACCCAGCTGGGCTGGGGCAGAGCTGGTTTCTGGTCAGATCCACGAATGCCGGGACCCAGCTGGCGAGGTCAGCTCTGGGATCCTCTGCGCCCCCCACCCCGCCCCACCGTTTAACCCTGAGCGTGGGGTGCCAGGGCCTCAGAAATGGGGGGATTCCTTACTTTCTCCAAGTTTCTCCCCGGTCTGGAGACCCAGACAGGACTGAGCCAAGAAGCCCTGGCCTCACTCTCTTCCCGGGCTGCCAGATCTCACCCCTCCCCCTACTGCCTCCACAGGCTGCCCAAGCCCTCATCAAAGGCAAGCCCTGCGGGGAGGGGCTTCTAGACGGGGGAACCAAAGCTTCTGGAGCCGCGGAGGAGAGAATTTGTACTCCATCGCAGCAAGCCGCTCAGTGACCTTGGACAAGCTCCTGCCTTCCCAAGGCCAGGGTCAGCACCAAGGTCCCCCTGGCTGAAACAGGCAGCCCCTAAGCCATCCAAGGTGATAGTTACCCGGACCCTAGGTCCTGATAAGAGAAAGGGCATCTGGGTGTTTACCCTTCGGTGCTGTTCTGTAGTCTGGCATTGCCCCTGCCCACCATGGGTGCCCCTTTCTGCCCCCTTCCCCAGGATCGGACTTGGGTACCATGTGCGTCTATAAGCCCTCTGCAGACAGCACTATACAGATGGGAGAAGTACCCCAAGGGAGCTACAGGTCCCAGGACAGCTTCAGAGCTAGGGAGCAAGAGTTCAGCTGGTCTGCCAGGTGAGGTGGCTCACAACTGTAATCCCAACACTTTGGTAGGCAGAGGAGGGCTCGGGAGTTCCAGACCAGCCTGGGCAACACAGTGAAACCCCATCTCCATCAAAAACAAAAAAAATTAGCCAGGTGTAGTGGTACGCACTTGTAGTCCCAGCTACTTGGTGGCTAAAGGCAGGAAGATCTCTTGAGCCCCGGAAGTCAAGGCATCAGTGAGCCGTGTTCATGCCACTGCACTCCAGTCTGAGTGACAAAATGTCACCTCTCTGAATGTCACCCACCCAGATCTCCCCATGATGAGGGAATTAGGGGCAATGCGGGGCGTAAGCAGGAACAGCATTGGGAAAGACAGATAAAGCATTCAGTGGCTGGGTGTGGTGGCTCACGCCTGTAATCCCAGCACTTTGGGAGGCCAAGGTGGGTGGATCACCTGAGGTCATGAGTTTGAGACCAGCCTGGCCAACATGGAGGAACTCTGTCTCCACTAAAAATACAAAAAATTAGCCGGGCTTAGTGGTTCATGGCTGTAATCCCAGCTACTCAGGAGTCTGATGCTTGAGCTCAGAGGGGCAGAGGTTGCAGTGAGCCAAGATTGTGCCACTGCACTCCAGCCTGGGTGACAGAGCAAGACTCTGTCTTGAAAGAAAAGAAAAGCATTCAGTGTCTAGTGTCCAGAGCCCAATGAAAGGAGGAGTGGCCTTAGGGAGGGGACATGGAAGAGGTGGGCCATTGTTTCAGCAGGGGCTTGCCCAGGGCCCCATTGGAGCTATAAAGCCACTGATCTTAAGCTTCCTGCAAACTTAGGAGATGACCCAGCTCAGTGACACCAACTCAGAGCGCAGATCGGCTCAAAGACCATTGTATGTAATAGGCTGAGGCAGGTGTTCAGAGAGTTCTGGAACTCTGGCTAGGAGTTCGAATCCAGCCTGGCCAACGCGGCAAAACCCCAGATCTACTAAAAATGCAAAAAATTAGCCAGGCATGGTGGTGGGCACCTGTAATCACAGCGACCCCAGAGGCTGACGCAGGGGAATTGTTTGAACCCCAAAGGCAGAGGTTGCAGTGAGCTGAGATCATGCTACTACACTCCAGCCTGGGTGACAGAGTGAGAGTCTGTCTCAAAAAAAATAAAAAATAAAAAATACCACTGTAGTCCAGAAGCTGTCTGCACCCTACTCTTTTGGGTCCTCACCTCCACCCCACACCCCCTGTCTGATCCTTACAGGTCTCAAGGGGACAAGAAAGGCAGCAGCAGCCACTCTCTCTCCCAGCCAAGTGGTCACCAGCACGACTGAAGGGGACAGCCCCTTTGCAGTGGCTTGGCAAGGAGCCCCCTGCACCCTAGGGTGAGTGAGTTCCAGACTTGGGTCACCTTTGGGGATGGGGTGGCCCAGAAATTGGATAGAAAAGTTGGTAACCAGGCAGGCTGGGTGGCTTATGCCTGTAATCCCAGCACTTTGGGAGGCAGAGGCAGGTGGATCACTCCAGGTCAGGAGTTCAAGGCCAGCCTGGCCATTTTATATCTTTTCTAAAAATACAAAAATAACCTGAGCGTGGTGGTGAGCACCGGTAATTTTAGCTACTTGAGAGGCAGATTGATCACTTGAGGTCAGGAGTTAGAGGCCAGCCTGGCCATTTTCTATCTTTACTAAAAATACAAAAATTACCTTGTAATTCCAACTACTTGGGTGTTCTGAGGCAGGAGGATCATTGAAACCCAGAAGGCAGAGGTTGCCATAAGCCAAGATCGCATCATTGCACTCCAGCCTGGAGGACAGAGACTGTTTAAAAAAAAAAAAAGTGACTTAAGGAAAAAATGCCAGCTTTTGAAATAGTAACAAGCTGGGTGCAGGGGTGTGCACCTGTGGTCCTAGCTACTCAGGAGGCTAAGGTGGGAATATTACTTGAGTCCAAAAGTTCGAGGCTGCAGTGAGCTATGATCATGCTTGCAAATGGCCACTGCATTCCAGCCTGTGAGACAGATCAAGACCCTCATCTCTTTAATTAAAAAAAAAGAGGCCAGGTGAGGTGACTCACATTTGTAATCCCAGCACTTTGGGAGGCCGTGGTGGGCAGATCACGAGGTCAGGAGTTCGAGACCAGGCTGTCCAATGTGATGAAACCCTGTCTCTAGTTTAAAAATACAAAAATTAGCCGGGCATGGTGGCATGTGCCTGTAGTCCTGGCTACTCAGGAGGCTGAGGCAGGAGAATCACTTGAATCCGGAGAGCAGAAGTTGCAGGGAGCCAAGATTGTGCCACTGCACTCCAGCCTGGGCAACAGAGTAAGACTCCATCTCAAAATAAAAAAAAACAGTAATAACAATGTAATGATGATGATGATGATGATGATGATGGATGCTTTCTATCGCGTCCTGGGAGTTACCTGTCCACTTCCTTTGATCACTGGAGGTGGGGAATCTATTGAGAGGGGCCGGGTGACCTGGACACAGGGCGCTGAGCCAGGTTGGAAGAGCTCTCTCCCGCCACTACTGCGCCCCGCCCCCCCCCACAGCCTCTACCTCCCGGCTCCTGGAGACAGCCCCGGGGTGGAGTAGCTCCGTGGAAGGCAGCTCCTGTGCTCCCTTCCTTGGCGAACATTTTTTTGTTTTTTTTTTTAGTTTTTATTTTTGTTTGTTTGTTTCAAGATGGAGTCTGGCTCTGTCGCCCAGGCTGAAGTGCAGTGGCATAATCTCAGCTCACTGCAACCTCCGCTCCCTACCCCCTGGATTCAAGCCATTCTTGTGCCTCGGACTCCCAAGTAGCTGGTATTACAGGCATGCGCCACCACAACCGGCTAAGTTTTGTATTTTTAGTAGAGGCGGGGCTTCACCATGTTGGCCAGACTGGTCTCAAACTCCTGACCTTGTGATCCACCTGTCTCGGCCTCCCAAAGTGCTGGGATGACAGGCCTGAGCCACCGCACCTGGCCTCCCTGGTGAACATTGACATCCAGGGTCAGCACTAAGCTGCCCAAGGCGGTATGGCGAACACAAAGGTAGCGGTCATTTGGTCAATCAACAAACAGTGAGCAAGCTAGCTACTGTCTGCCAGGCCCTGGGCTGGATGCTGGGGATGCAATAAGGACCAAGACCAGCCCAGGTCAGCCCTTGTGGAATTTCATGGAGCATCAATTGAGCAGGTTTTATGTGCTGGATACAGTGGCTCACACCTGTGATCCCAGAACTTTGGGAGGCCGAGCAGGAGGATCAGTTGAGCTCAGGAGCTTGAGACCAGTCTGGACAATATAGCAAGACCCCATCTCTAAAAATAATTTTTTAAAAAATTAACCAGGTTGGGTGGGGCATGCCTGTGGTCCCAGCAAACTCTGGAGGCTGAGATGGTGGGATCACTTGAGCCCAAGAGGTCGAGGATGCAGTGAGCTGTGATTGCACCACTGTACTGTAGTCCCGGTGACAGATTGAGATTGTCTCAGAAAGAAAGAGAGAAAGGGGGCCGGGCGCGGTGGCTCATGCCTGTAATCCCAGCACTTTGGGAGGCCAAGGCAGGCAGATCATGAGGTCAGCAGATTGAGACCATCCTGGCCAACGTGGTGACACCCCATTTCTACTAAAAATACAAAAACTAGCTCGGCGTGGTGACAGGTGCCTGTAATCCCAGCTACTCGTGAGGCTGGGGCAGGAGAATTGCTTGAACTTGGGAGGTGGAGGTTGCAGTGAGCTGAGATCACACCACTGCACTCCAGCCTGGCGAGAGATCAAGACTTATCTCAAAAAAAGAGAGAAAAGGAGGGAGGAAGGAAGGAAGGAAGAGAAAGGGAGGGTGGGAGGGAGAGAGGGAAAGGAAAGGGAGGGAGGGAAGGAAAGAAGGAAGGAAAATGAGGATGGGAGGGAGAGAGAAAAGGCAGGCAGGGGGAGGGAAAGAGTGAGGGTGGAAGGGAGAGAGAAAAAAAGAAAAGAAAGAAAAAGGAAGGAAAGTGTTACATATTAGGAGGAAAATAGAATGTGAGGATGTATTGGTGATCAGAGGCGCAGGGAAGCCGCTTGTAGGCGTCAGAGGGGCCTCTCTAGGGCAGGGATCATGAGCTGAGACCTGAAGGAAGAAGAGGAACTGGCCGGCTGAGAGCTGGGGGAACAGCATACCCAGCAGAGGGAACCACATGTGCAAAGGTCCTGAGGTTGGAAGGAGCTTGGTATGTTTGAGGAACAATGAGGAGGCTGCTGTGGCTGGAACAAAGTGAGTGAGAGAGAGGAGGAAATGAAGGCAAGGAGGTCGGCAGGCAGGGGCCAAGCTACAGGGATCTCAGGGGCTGCCATGAGGGTGTGGACTTCAGAGCAATGGGGAGCCATGGCAGGTGTGTGAGCAGGGGAGAGGCATGGCCTCATTTCGGTTTTTCAGAAGCTCTGTGGCTGCCGTGGAGAGCAGGACAGGAGTGGAGGTGGCAGAAGCCCAGAGTAGAGTTCGGGGAGATGCCTAGTGGTGTCAGCCAGGATAGAACTAGGGTAGCACCTCTGATGGAAAGAAGTGGCATATTCTGGGACTGGGCTGGGGATGGAGGGTGAAATGTGGCCAGGTTTCCATCTCATGCCAAGGAGCCACTGGGAGGGAAGGGAATACTCATTGTGCCTGGGGAAACCTGGGAAGGAATCCTGGAGAAGGTGCTCTTTGGTCTGAGTCTGGAAGGTCAAGTAGGAGTTTGCCAGCAGCTAAGGCTGGAGTCACATGGAATCTAATTGCTCAGATGCCAGGGGAACTACAGGGAGTCACTGAGCACCCAGAATCTGGGGCGACATGATCAGGTTTGTAATCAAGAAAGATCCCTGTAATTCCAGCACTTTGGGAGGCCAAGGCAAGAGGATCCCTTGAGGACAGGAGCTCAAGAACAGCCTGGGCGACATAGCAAGACCCCATCTCTACAAAAAGTAAAACAAAATTAGCTGGGTGTGGCGGCACATGCCTGTAGTCCCAGCTACCCAGGAGGCTGATGTGGAAGGATCGCTTGAAGACAGGCAATCGAGGCTGCAGTGAGCTATGACTGCACCACTGCACTCCAGCCTGCTGGGAAACAGAGGGAGACGCTGTCTCTCTTCTTTTTTTTTTGAGACAGGGTCTCGCTCTGTCACCCAGGCTCGAGTGCAGTGATGCAGTCTTAGCTCATTGCAACCTCTGCCTCCCGGACTCAAGTGATCCTCGCGCCTTAGCCTCCTAAGTAGCTCAGGACTATAGGTGCCTGCCGCCCGGCTAATTTTTATGTATTTATATTTTTTAATTTTTTTTATTTATTTATTTTTTAAGACAGGGTTTCACCATGTTGGTCAGGCTGGTCTTGAACTCCCAACCTCAGGTGATCCGCCCGCCTTGGCCTCCAAAGTGCTTGGATTACAGGCATGAGCCACTACACCCAGCCCATTTATTTATTTTTGAGACGGAGTCTCGCTCTGTCTGCCAGGCTGGAGTGCAGTGGCACGATCTCGGCTCACTGCAATCTCTGCCTCCCAGGTTCAAGCAGTTGTCCTGTCTCAGCCTCCCCAGTAGCTGGGATTACAGGCGCGTGCCACCACATCTGGCTAATTTTTTTGTATTTTTAGTAGAGACAGGGTTTCACCATGTCAGTCAGGCTGGTCTCGATCTCCTGACCTCAAGTGATTCACCTGCCTCAGCCTCCCAAAGTGGTGGGATTATAGGCATGAGCCATGGCGCCCAGCCATATTTTTTAAATTTATTTTTTATTTTCGTAGAGAGGGGGTTTCAGCGTGTTGCCCAGGCTGGTCTTGAACCCCTGAGCTCAGGCAGTCTGCCCACCTTGGCCTCCTAAAGTGCTAGGATTACAGGCATGAGCCACAGGACCCTATCTCAAAAATAAAAAAAGATTCCCTCTAGGTGGGGGGCCTGGGGGAGTTTAGACCCGAGTGAGAGAGGCCAAGAGGTGCTTTTGAAATAGTCCAGGTCGGCTGGGTGTGGTGGCTCACGCCTGTAATCCAAGCACTTGGGAGGCCAAGGCAGGCGTATCACCTGAGGTCAGGAGTTCAAGACCATCCTGACCAACATGGCGAAACCCCGTCTTAAAAGAAATAGTCTAGGTCATGGTCAGACCAGCAGCAGCTGGAAGGATCCATGGAGTGCTTGCTGTGTGCTTATGACATTTGATGGAGATTATCTCCTGAGCCTCATGCCAGTGGCCTCCAGTGAGGCCCTGACATTGCCCTACAGAGGAAACAGAGGCTCAGAGGTACCAGTCTTTTGTCCACAACCACCGCCTTTATTCCTGTGGCTGCTACTACAAATAACCATGGACTGGATGGCTTACAACCACAGAAAGTTGGCTGGGTGCGGTGGCTCACACCTGTAATTCCAGCACTTTGGAAGGCCGAGGTGGGTGGATCACC